AATTTAGTTTTGACAATTACCTAATTAACGATCTGAGACTTTTCTTTTTTAATTGTGTGTGAAATTAATAAAAAATATGATCGTGAAGAAACATGACAAATAAAACAGAAATTTTATAAATTGTCACCGTCGCTATCGCTATCGCTGTAACTTTCTGTAACATTTATTATGAATTATGTCTGTGATATTTATTGTCAATTAACATATCTAGCTTGCTCATTTTTTCCTCTTCTTTGACAACATGGGATACGCAGTTAAACCATTCTGTAGCCGTAATATTTTGAATGCCTTCCTGAAACTGATACACTGATTGTTTACCGATTTTTGTGTTCATAACTACACTGTTATATGTGGTATCATTATTTCACAAAATGACAGTAGGTCTTTCTTTTCTATAAACTTGTAATTTTTGACATAGAACTAATTAAAATATGTACGACGTATTGCCGACGTATATAACTGAATCCAAGTAAGTGTTTAGTGTGCTTACCGAGCACCATTCGAACAGACAAAGCCATTTGCCATCAGCTAGCCTAAATTCAAATTCAAATTCAAATTCAAATGTTTATTGCATTCCATAATGTTACATTAGGTGCTATTATATGTGTATCAGTATTAAGATCATTATGGACCCTGTCGGGCACAGCAAATTACAAAATAATAAAATTAACTTACATTACAAAATAATAAAATCAACTTATATGACAAAATAACAAAATTTAACTTATATTATGAAATTATAAAGTTCAAATATATTTTTTGCAAATGCAGTGACCTCAAATAAATCCGCGCAGGGGTCAAGCGGAGGATGGCATTATGACAATTGACAGATCCTACCATTACTGTGCGTTTCAATTGTGACAGAGATGAGAGGCTCAAAGAGATGAGTGTGTAATAATTGACAAATCACATTTGGATAAAACGTTTATTTATATGACGTGACTAATCAGGCTTTAATATGGTTTTTAAAACGATAACGATTATCGCTCGACCAAACTTGCAAATGGAACTTATTTTTTTTTTATAAAAAAACTTCCCTACACACTAGGATTTTCTTCTGTATCGTAGGCCTATGCTTAGCACAAATCTGGAAAACTTTGAATGTAACTGTTTCTTAGTCTAAAAAAAAAACTCGTTGACCCTCACTTTTAGTAGAAACCATACTATTTTTGTATAAGACATAGTTAACTTAATAAAAATAATGACTCGAGTAAGTCGTTAAGTACCTTAGGAAAGCTCTACTAGTTTCTAGTCACAACGGAGCTTTTATTCGGATTCCCTATGTCGCCGCTACGCTTGAAAGTGTTATAATTACAAAGCTTTTCTTATTCAATTCACCTGAGTAAGTCGTTATTTTTAATAGATTCCATACTAAACATTTTGTAAATTCCTCAGATAATAGCACTTTTCAAAATGTCGCGTTTCATATTTACAACAAATATGAAACGCGACACAAATTACGCGTGTCTTAACACGAAAAAAATAATTAAATACCTTGATAGGTTTAACGTTTCGACCTGGTCGCACAGGTCGTGGTCGCAAGCAGATTCAAGTCTCAGTCAAAAAGAAAATAATCTATAATATAAGTTTTGTATTCAATTGCCGATATTTAGAGCCAACTCTTCATCCGTGGGGTATTAACATTCGCATTTACTATATGCCTTTGGCGTAATTCCATTAAATAAAACAGATAATACGTTAATAAATGGCACTGGAGATTCATACGAGTGCGCACGGAGATTATATTGAATCTAGACTAAATTGGGATAATATATTGATATTAATTCAATCTAGTTGGATCATGACCCTTTCTTCTCCAGTAAAGGGAGATGAATTATGCTGGTTTGGCTTACCTACTTAATATTTGTCATCTGAGCATGTAATCGAATTGAAATTGTTACCTAGAATTAAGCTTGTTGAAACCTCGTCTTATTTACATTCGAATTTGTTCGAAGAACATTATATTCTACTAAAGAATCTAAACACAAAAGCGCAAAGTGCAATACTTTATTTGTTAATATTGTTAACGTTTTGCCTAGGTAAACGTAAGCGAAGAACGACAAAGTATGCCATTAAAATGCGACCAAATGCAAGTCTGAATCGCTTATAAAATTTCTGTGTCAATAAGTATCATAAATAACATCCAAAATTACTTACTAGATCTCGTTCGAACCAATTTTCGGAGAGTAATCCAAAGTCCATGAGTATGGTGATAAGGTCCATGTTATGTACACTATGATACAACATAATTGTATGACAAATCCATAAGGTTCAATTTATTTGGTCATCGAACGTAGAGATATTCATATATTGTGCATTCAAATGCAAAAAGGACACCAGTTGCATATAATTCCATTTATCTCTTCGTTCAGCAACTCAAAGTAAATTCAACTTGCATTCTCGCGCAATTCGCCCTTGAACTAACCGAGTGAAACACCACAAAATGATCAAGTTTATAACTGAAAGGAGAAACTTGCAGTCCATAAAATGATTGAACCAATTATTGCTTCAATCAATGCTAGCGTAATACTGTTCACTTTGCTACCACGTTGACTGAACGTAAAAGTTACTTATAAATATTTAAACATTATATATTTATGTGTAATAAAAAATTAAACTTATTTTCTGAATTTGTGCCTTGCTATAGGCAAAGGCTTATTATAAATACTCTTTGGTTACCGGAACAAAAAAGGCACCTTTTTTGTAGAGGGAAATCACCAAATGACTACCTACTTTCGCCCAGTGTGTAGCGAGAGGGAGTGTCAGACTCTTACTGACTAAAACCCCCTGTTCATTCTCCTGCTTCAGGCCAAGGCCGCGGTACCTTGTTGCGCAGACCCGAGACCGCGGCTTAAACCGCAATTATTTTTTTTTTAATTTCTCCCGTGATGTACTTTATCTGTTCTGTTCACCTCTTTGTGGTATATGGGTAATGAGTCTGTGACTACTTAAATATTAAAATGCATAAGCAAATAATATTTCATTGGCACACTTGTTGAATTTATTTAGCGAATTAAGCTTGTTGCGGTAATAACTTCAAAAGTAAACTGTACGTAATGTTGTAAAATTTCGCTTACTCTGTTTTATTTTACAAAAGAGGTAAAGGGGTGAGTGGAAGAAATTTCTACTGTCTGGGATCCGGTTAACCCCGTTCAAATACAACTGGAAACAACTGGTTTTATTCAAAAACAAGAGGGCGCCCGGTTTAAGTGTCTTTAAGGTCCAACAATTTTGAGGGTTTGCCGAACAATTTTTTGAGGAGGCTTAAAGCTTAAAGAATAATAAAAACCGGTGAACTGTGAATCGAATTCACTCACATCGAGTTCCGGAGCGGAAAAATAAATATAATAGACATAATATTATGCACTCTACGCTACATATACATATAATCTACTCTGATTTTATGAATCAAGTGTGGAAGAGCCATGCTTCGGCATGAATGGGTCGGCTCGACCGGAGTGATGCCACGGCCTCACAGAAAACCGGCGTGAAACAATCACAGCATTGTGTTTCGCCGTATGAGTGAGGTTACCGGAGGCAATCCTTCCCCTCTCCCAATCCCTCATCAATCCCTCCTCAATCCCTAAATCTCCAAAGCCCTAATACCTAAAAGGTCGGCAGCGCACTCGTAACTCCTCCGTTGCGGGTGTCCATGGGCGACGCTGATTGCTTATCATCAGGTAATTCGTAAGCTCGTTTGCCGACCTATTACATAAAAAAAATCAACATCACGGCTAATTAGTCTGTTCCTATATTTTTATTTATTTCGGAACTTTAATAGTTTCTATAAATTATAAAACAACTTACGATAAACGATTATACCTTTATTTCACGACATCATCTTCCGACGATCGGATTCTATGACAAATGAATCTATAACGGATAGGCTTAGTATAGAAGAAATTTTTTTACTGAACCCTAAAGGTCCGAAGCTTCAAGCTCTTGCGATTGTAAATCCACTCTAATAAGTAATCCCTCCTTATCGGGGTGGGTTTACAATAGATATTCGATCATGCATAAACTTTATCTGGCCAGCTACAGTTAACATTTCTAAAGGAAATACAATGTTGAACATCATGTCGATAATATGTATGTACATTATAAATAATTATAATATCAGTGGTAGTGTCTCAATAGGGGTTTATCCAAATTAATATTATATACTTAACCTAATTTTTCTATGAATTTTGTTTGAAATAGCACGGTTCAAAGTCACCATTTCTTGAGTAAAATACATAAGACTTTTTGTTCAATTTTCTTAATAATAAAGTAATTATTAAGTTTATCTGATATGATGAATAATTCGAAGAATAAAAAACAACATTTATAATATTTGTTTTTTCTGTAAGTATATTATAATACTTTTTGACTTAGGAAATAATCCAACTCGTTTTTTTTCTGATATTCAATCATTTTATTTTAATTCCGCCAAAATTGGCACAATATTTTAATAATATAATTGTTGAATAAGTTGAAAATAAAGAAAAGCATCTTGTTATAAAGATATTTTATCTTGATAACAATATGGGAGCACTCAATCATATTCCTAAAATACAAAAAAATATAGAAAAATACTAAAATGTAGGCAAATTTTCATACAGCTTTTCTAAATCTTTTTAGGTCCTCTGTTATGTCGCCTGTGTAGGTTGTTGTGTAGTTGAGCCGGCTGTGAGATTGATTTCTTTTAAAATACATTATATTCCCTAGAGTTATAAAAATAAAACTTGCGTTTTGTTGAATGTGTTGATGAAGTGGGTGTTTTACTTTCAGTGAAAAAAGTACCCTAACCAAATAAAGATACGCTAGAATATGCACTAGAGCTGGCTGAGTTTACAAAAACCAGTCCAGTGGAGAACTAGAATGGCTGTGAGCTAGATGATTACAGATAAAAAATAGTTCATAATTCAGAAACAAGTTAGACAAACACTTTTAGAAAGAAAATCAAATAGAAATACGAAATCAAAATTACAAATATTTAAACAAGTGCGAATAATACTCACTTGAGATTGATGTCCTCAAGGATCTTCGTTGGTAACAAGTCCAGGATCTGAGTGACATTGAGATGATCCCAAGACTGCTGGCGACCCAGAATCTGCTGGGTGCAGTTGATGAACAGTAATATGTCTATTTCGGAATCCATGGCAACATAATTCACTTACACACCACAAAAACACATTTCATTACGAAACACTTCCGAAACCAAACAACACCGTCAATCAGTTCAAGTTGAATGTCACTTAGATACTCGAGTCAATTGTTCTTACGCACGTATCCCCTTTTGGGAGGTTTAATTATCTCCACACCACGTACGCGTTACATCACCGTGTGTGTAGGCTCACTGACAAAATCAGGCCAAAGGAAAACCTTGGACTGGAAATAAATCACATATTGCGACTTCATAACTCGACACCAAATATTAATATCAATTACACATTGTCCAGAACTTTTCCTAAGCTCCATTAATTCTGGTAATTAACATCTCTCAGTCACCCCTCCTTTTTTGGCACAGACAACAATGAAACTTGTAATTTAGGCAGTCATTATAATTAAGGGACTTGATTGACCACTTCTTTTTGAATACGTAATGAATATTCTTAGAGAATCCTGTGCCCTATCTTTAATGTTCTGGAAAAGTTAAGGGTCGAACGAAAAAAGTTTTCAAAATTAAAGTCGAGAATAAAGAAAAAAAATACCGTATTTCAAGGGATCTTTTACTATTACAAAGCGCTTCTCAAATTGTGATAAAGGATGGTATTATTGGAGAATTTCCGGTAAGTTTTGGTCAAAGCGTCAGTCCTTAGAGACGGAAATGTAATGACAAGGCAGTATTTTGACTTATCTTATCTCTGTCTTATTCTTTTGGGATCCGATTCGTCCGTCATTTCAGCATTTATGTAAGTAAGTCTAAAGACAACCCTTTGTACAAATTTGTGTCCTTTGATACATGACTTAGATATTAATTTTGAACACCACTAAAATAATATCACAAAGTTGGAATCACCAATAAAAATAAAATAATAAAATGTAAAATTTAACCTTATACGAATTTATAGTCCAATTTATAGCTGCAGATACAGTAAATAGTATTAACTTTTTATATTATTGCAATATTTTACAAGTTGCAAAAACTACGACATCGTAAAACTATTTTTTTATTTTGAATAATAACTCGATAAATCATATTTGGTCATGTAAGCAGTTTCGTATCTATTTTATTTTATTGAAAGTAAAATAAAAATTCATAGCGTAGGCTATCAAAATTGACGTCGTATGATGTGGTATTGGATGGAATTGCATTATAGCCGCTAGCTATGAGTTATTACTATGATTATGTTGGGTTGTTGGAAGTTCTATCGGTAACCACTGGACCGATAGGCTGACCCTAATGCGAAAAGATTGCGTTATAAGTCAATGTTCTTTGCAGTCTCATATAACGTTTTAACTATAGAATATCCAAACTAATATTATAAATGCAGAAATAACTATGTCTGTCGGTCTTTTCTTCACGCCTAAGCTATTGAACCGATTTTTGTGAAATTTTGAACTTGAGGAAGGACACGGGATAGTTTTTATACCAAAAATTTTGCAAAAAGTCACTGTTTGCACGCAAACAAAAAAAACCCTAACCCAGTCGGCTAAGGTCGGCAACGCACTCGTAACTCTTCTGTTATGTGTGTCCATTGGCGGCACTGATTGCTTACCATCAGGTAATCCGTTTGCTTGTTTGCCAACTAAAAATAAAATTGAAGATCGCAGTTTTAAAGGACATTTCTTGGCTTTTCAGCAAGCACTGCTGAAACTCTGCACAAATAACTTTATTTCCTTTGCTCTCGGTCTTAAGATGTCTGAAATAAAGGAACAGATATATAGAGGATAAAGGAGGACGTATGCTTAATCTTAGAAGATCTAATAGAGTGAAATGTTGCAGGAACTTATTTGATTGTAAAATAATTAGTGTTTATATAGGAATTGATTTTCAAATTGTGATCATTTCTTAGAGAAAACAGCGATCAAAGCTTTGATAAAATAACTCATACTTTTTTGAACGTTGCTACTGCGTCACAATAACTAAATAGTGTCCCTAAGTTTTAACCCAGTTCAGTCCAAGATCCATACAAAATACATGAAAAGCTGCTTTGACGAATTAAGTTTAATTAAAAAAAACATGAACGAAATAAAAAAGTATTTCATGAAGAATAATAACTGCTAACAGAGATTGATTAAATCGAATGAAAATAACTATTAAAGAAATGCCTAAAAAACAACAAAAAAGATTGACATTGAACTACGGACTAAGAACAAAACAAAAAATACAAAAATAAAAGAACTACCTACCGAACATTTACATCAAAGAACCATTGATTTCAATTAGCGAAATTGTGTAGATAAGATAAACCTATGTATGTTCGTTAGCTTTTTCTCAAATGCGCAAATATCTTACCGATATGGCTACTTTTTGTGAAACAAAAAAGAACAAAGAAAATGTTTTGAATAAACTCCGTGGAAATTCGTGCGGTTAATGGACAAGAAAATGTGTGGTTATTTGTTAAATGAAAAAGATTTCTACGTTGTCGAAGAAAAATATGTTAAACTAGCTATTCGCGGTTTCACCCGGTGCTTCAGATCTTAACGTGATGTTTAATAGCCTTAACACAAAAAGAATTCTTCAATTCGAACCAGTAAACTCTTCAGCTTTATTAGGTTCATACGAGTAATAGCCAAAGCAGACTAAATATATTTAAGACACATATTCGACAGTAGGATTTTTTATGTGCAATATTATAATAGCAATCAGTGCTACCCATGGACACATAGAAAAGTTACGAGTGAGTTTTGGGGATTAGGTTTTTGAAGAATGAGGTACGGATTCCGGAGGGATAAAGGGAGGAGAAGAATTGGGCCTCAGGTTACAAACTTGGAAACAACTCTGTAGTCGTGTCATGCCAGTTTTCCGTAAGCCCGTAGAACCACTCCGTTTCGTGCCGAAGCATGAACGAGGTACATTACCGAATATTTTTTTTATAAGAATTAAAAATACATATTATATACATAGTTAGAGTAAAACACGTTTGTCCTGTGCGGAAAACTAAGTAAGGGCCCTACGTACCGCACAAAGTACCAAGAACCTTGGAAAGTACCGGAGCGTTCAGAACTCTATTATAAACCTGAACCTCCTAAGCCGCGATTTGAAAGCCACTTAGATACCAAGGACTTTCGAATGCCAGCCGAGGATGCATGCCGAGGAGAAGTCCAGCTTATGACGGTCACACGCTGTCAATGTAGTTATAGATTAAAATAATCTTTAAAGATTGGTAATAATTATATCTTATGAGTTGCATACGTTTTCAGAGTTTTATGTACTAACTTTCAAAGTTCATTTAAAAACACCACTAACATACAATCGTAAAGAAACCTGGACATAAAATTTCTAATTTTAAGTTTCCAATCGCCAGTCCGCCTCTTGGTGCTTGCTCAAGCAAGCTCATTAATGCTCAAAACTTCGCAGTGTGTGTGAGGGAGAGCCATGCTTCGGCGCAAATGGATGGGCTCGACCGGAGTGATACCACGGCCTCACAGAAAACCGGCGTGAAACAACCACAGCGTTGCCGTTGTGTTTTGCCGTGTGAGTGAGGTTACCGGAGGCCCAATCCTTCCCCTCCCCCGATCCCTCCTAATCCCTAAATCTCCAAAACCCTTATCCCTAAAAGGTCGGTAACGCAATCGTCACTCCTCCATTGCGGGTGTCCATGGGTGGCGCTGGTAGCTTACCATCAGGTAATCCGTCTGCTCGTTTGCCGACCTATTACATAAAAAAAAGTGTGATAAGGTTTGAGCATTAAGAAGAGGCCCTTACACAGAAGTTGGAACTTATAAACTGGTAATTGTGATTAAAATCAATTTCAATAAACATATTTAAACAATGATGAAATAACAAATTTATAATACTACAACATAATAAGTCAGAAAGAAAGAATAAAACCTTAACGAAATCACGCCCAACGAAATGCTATTAAATTAGATACCTACCTACCACAAGGGCGTGAAAAGGAGGCAAATGGATTTTGTTAGAATGGAATTGTATAGCAACTTACATACCTACTGTATTATAATATATATAAGTATGGAAAACATCCGGGATGGGATAGAATTGCCTAATTCAAATTTAATCCATGTAAAACCTTCGTTGATCGAACAAAGATGGTCTCTCAACGGCATTTTACACTTAGGCGCGTGTTGTGGCACAAAGGTTATGGGAATGCTGATATTTATTAGATATCTTTAACAAATGTTTCTGCTGCAAAATAAATGGTTTGATTTCTATTTAAAAGGCCACACACTTTTTAGTCGAGCGATTTTTTATGAACGTAATCGCGGGAAAATAGCTTGAAAAACTTATTTTTTATTCGTATAAGTAAATAAAACGAAAAATGATGCTAAATGATAAAAAGAAAAACTTAAAACATTCCCTGTTTTTTCACAGCGAGTTTTTTTGTTTATAATTTTTAAATCCCTTATTTTATATTTTAATATTTTTTAACAATCAAAATGTGTATTTTTTTACTTGATGTGGAGATAATCCAAATTAGGTAAAATAAAAAAATATTTTCACATGCCTGTAAAAAAGAAAGAAAGTAAAATAGACAATCAGAATGAAACGCAAATAAATCAGTTAGTATTTGTTTAGGATCTAAGGATCAACGCCAGTGATTAGGCTTAAAAAGTTACGAAATATATTTTTAGTAGGCATTTATTAACTTTCAATGGATTTTATATTAAAAAATCACTAATAAACGTAGTATTGATTTAATTTAATATTTGAGAACCATTAAAAAACTTTTGTCTTTAAATCAACCTATTGATACCTATAAAACTGAAATATTTTCGAACAGACAACACTCACAAAAATACTTGATTAATTTACTTGATCGCTTTAAGCCTAGATATTACACATTTCTTAAATCCCTTTCAAAGCCATCGAATAAAAACTCTTTCTTGTCTCGTTTTTTCCTTATATCGATATTGCCTTACCGTTCCTGATTAGAAATGAGCACAAAAGAAATTGAAAGATTTCGCTTCAATCATCCTCAGCGAACAAACGTGATCGGCTTTATACAAAATACATCAAACGTTCAAATAAGA